TATGAGCACTGCTGTGATTCCTGTCTATCATACTGTAGATGACGTTTACAGATTTAAAAGCATCCGCATGCCTAGCAGGTAGCAGAAATAAATAAGGCAAGTGAGGGGTAATAGAGAAGACTGAGGACTAGAGAATGCTTGGCCTTTAATATTTTAGCAACCCTCTTTGGCTCAAACGACACAAATATGCAAACTACAAATGACTTTTGTGTTAGATGTATAAAAGTATCTTCCCTTACCCAGGCCTTTGTAAGCCTACACTGCATTGAGTGTGGCTGTGGGAGGGGACGGGGAACAAGGCAGTGTGACATGCCTCCGCCTCACACACACATAGTATGATGATGCCGCTTACTAGCAAAGTGTAGAAATATTTTGAGATTTCCCAAATCTATAATTTATGATTCTTGTCAGCATTCTAGTTACACACAGGAAAGCATCAACCTGTCATCTGAACATTGACAGGAGAGCAGATGAGGAGAGAAACAGACGGGGTGCTCCACAAAAACTCCTCTGCTCATCACAGGCCAGATCCTGGTAATGAACACCAATGCCAACCATTGCTTTACCAGGGAAGCCACTTTTTAAATGGCTACAATTTAATTCATTCAGTTTTTACTGAGTGCCTAGGATGTGTGAGAAAATAGTAGGAGGTCAGCTTTGGCCAGAAGAAACTGTACGTTCTTGTATACAATCTTGTCATTTAGAATTATGCCTGAGTAGCAATGCACTAGCCTGAAGGAAAATATCCTGTCAGCAAGTAAGAGCTCTCTCAACCTGAAACAAAACATATGAGGGAAATACAGAAACAGAATTTCGGAATGTGAAGACTCATATACTAGAGAAAAGGAAAAGTAATTGTATTTCATTAAATGTTTTCTTTCTAAATTATTCCCTAAAAAAGAAACTGAGATTCATTTCTTTACGTTGTATTTGAAAACGCCCCAGAATCTTACACCGGAAGGGTCCGCAAGGGCTATCCAGACCACATTCTCACGTGGGGCAGTTGCCCTATATGGTAGGACCTTCTTCCAGATAGTTCATCCCGTGTAAGCTTGTTCACTCATGATGATCAGAACCAGGTTCCGGTTCTGTGAGCTGTCCCAAACCAGATGCAACTAGCTGATGTAATCTAGAAAGATCTATGGTGCTGAACACACGTTAAGGGTCTTGTCATAGAAGATGCTTGAATCTGCATCTGACAGTTGGTCTATAATCATAAAAAACCATGGTTGTAAGGATGCATAAAAGGACAAGGGCAGCAGAGGTAGCAGTAGACAAGGAGCTAACTAAATCTTGGAAGTGGTAGTCTGCTCAGGCCAGGGCGGGACATTGGCAGACAACCAGAGTGGTTCTGGTTGAGAGCTCTGACTGCAAGAATCAGTAAAATCCCTGAAGACCTGAGAATGAGGCAAGGACTCAGAATTAGGGAAAGGAGTCTAAGAACACAGTAACGTCTGGAATGAGAGTGTCTAGAAGACAAGCCTTGAGCAACTGATAAAGCTCTCTCTGTCCCTTCTTCAGTCAGTGCTGGCCTGGGTGGCATTTGCATGCTAGTGGGGTTAGTTGTTTTTATCATGTAGAAGTGGAGAGATGTGAAACATAAGGTGCCCTGTTCCCTTGGCAGGGGGCTGTGAGATTCCATCTATGATAGGATACATCTAAAGTTTTCAGGATTTTCCTTAAATTGAATGGCTTCCTCTTTAAATATTTTCTTCTTTTGATTTTCATTACGACACCTTCTCCTGGTTTTTATCCTATATTATTGGCCTTCTTTTTTACTGGCTCTGCTTCTTCTAACTGGTCTCTAAATATTAAACATTTCTAAGGCTCAGTTTTGAGGTTTCTTTTCTATTTCCTTCCATTCCTACTCACATGGCTCATGTCACATCTATGTGTTGATGATTTCCGATTTTTGTTGCTCCATCCAAGACGTCCTCCCTGAGCTCCAGACTCACGCATTGAACTGCTTATATGTTATATCCACAAGTGAGTCAAATTGGAATTTCAACATAATATATCCAGAACATACTGTTAACCCTCTCTGCTGTCCACACCTGCTCCTCCCACTCTTTCCCCATCTTATTAAATGGCAGCACCATCTAATGGAACATTTAAGCGAAACACCTAAGAGTCATCCTTCATTCCCTCTTTTCCTCATGGCCCTCCTCAACATCCAGTTCTTCAGCAAATCCTGTTATTTATATATATAAAATGTTTCTGGAACCAATCCATTTCTTTCTACCACATTACCAACCTAGTCCAATCCACCGTCCTCTGACCTCTTGAATACTGCTCTGTGTAAACTCCCACATACTCGGTTCTTGGCCAGAGTGATCTTTTAAAAGTATGAGTTAGATAATTTGCTGCCTGAACAAGTCCTGCCCATGCAAAATGTACGTAGTAGTCTCCAAAAATCAAAATCCAAAAAGCCTTCTCTGAGCTTCCTCTGCCTATCTATCCAACTTCATCTTGGTATTACGTTCCCATTCACCTTCCCTCAGTCACATCCTGCTCTCTTGCTGCAATAGCTTAGCCTCAATCCTGAGTGAAGGCCTTTTAACTTGATTTTTACCTGGCCCAGAAAGCTCTTCCTAAAACTGGCTGGCTCCTGTCATTCTGATCTCAAAAAATCTCCTCCTGGGACTTCCCCAGCACCCAGCCTCTATAGAGAGCTCGGCCCCAACCCTCACACTCCCCCTTTGGTCTCACTCCCTTTCTTCATACTATAGCCCTTTCTCCACAGCACTTGTCAGTGTATAAAGTCATCTATCTTGTTGATTATCTGTCTCCTCATCAATAGAATATGAACTCCAGGAGAATAGGGACCTTATCTATCTTGTTCCTCGTTAGACCCCTGTACTTAGAAAGGATGCTACTAAATCTGAGTGTTTAATGATTGATTATTTACTAAGTAAAAGTGAACTCTACCTGCATATAACTTCCACTCATTGATCAGCTGGAGGTATGTTCAATAAGTCTCTTATTTCTTCTAGGTGACAGTCCTTTCAATATTTGAAGGAAGCCTTTATTATGTATAAAAATATATCTCTGCGTATGAGTGTGATGTCTTTCTCTTGGCTAAATATCTGCAAGTATTTAAATTAATCCTCATGTGAAAGAATTTCCAGATACTTCACTATCCAGGTCACCTGCCCCTGGATAAACTCCAAAAGAAGACTCTCCAAAGTTAGTTCCAGTGTTGTCTAAAAATAAACTGAAAGACACCAAATACAGGTAGTGGAAAAATCGCTTTCAGGCTGAGATTAACTGCCAACTGCTGTTCTGGTCTGAACTGTTTTTCTTTAATGCAGAATTTAAGGCATAGAAAATAATAAAATATTTTCTTTTCTCTTTTAGAGCAAATAGTTCCCTCCCATGGCCCCCAGGCAATCAATCTTAGACATGTATTATTTACTTTCTTGCTTACTACTTCCCAGGCTCTAAGAGAGGTGGACCAGAAGAAGATAGGGCCTCTGCTGGTATTTCCAGCCCTTGCCTCTCCTCTGAAGCTCACATGTGAACATCCTATTTCCTAGTCACTTCCTGCCCAGTTGCTTCATAAGCACCTCAAATTCAACACCTATCCCAAGTTAGACCTTCCTCTCCCTCCCCTAACCTTCTCTTCTCTGTTCTTTCCAATGCCTGTAAATGATACCATCCAGTCACCCAAGCCCCAAACCTCAGAGCCCATGTAGACCCCTTCTTTCTCGATATTCACATCCAGTCGGTTTCCAGCTCTGCCCGTTTTACCCTTTCCTTCACCTCTGTTTTCACAGCGCTGACTCAGGCCTTTATAACCTCTTAGTTGTAGCCTCCTGAACTGGACTCCTGTTTTCTCACCCCTGCCTTGCCTCACTGAAGTCTTTTCTGTATTGCAGTCATGGAGACTTGCAGTGTACCTTCGTTACAATGAAGCCCAAACACCTGCAGTGCAGCCTAAAGTCTCCTTTTGCCTGACCTACCACCCTCTAGTAACCTTTCTTGATTTGCACTTAATTCTAAGAAAACCAAGTCAAGAATTCTCCCTAACACCACGTACACTTAGCTTCTATGCCTTTTCTTTTCCCCTCTACCTGGGCTTCCCTTCTCAACTTTTTCACCTTTCTAATACCCTCAAGGACTAGAGGAACAGCTGCTTCTCCAGGGAGCCTTTCTGACCCAGTACTTGGTCTATAAACCCCTTTTCTCTGCAAAGACAGGGCCCAGCATGATTTCTTATCTAACGCACCCAACAGGATCTATTGAAACTATTTGTTTTTGATCTCACAAGGCTGCAAGCTCCTTAAAGGAAAAAAAAAAAAAAATCTCTTATTTATCTTTGTACCTCCCCTCTAAGACCTAGGTAAGTGGGGAACACGTAATAGGTATTTCATAAATATTAACTGATCTGAAAGATTGTTTAAGAGGCTGAAACTTAAATCTAGACAATGAACTCTTACGTCTAAAATAACATCAGAATGTCCCTACGTCACAAAATAAGACTGTCTGTAATTCTTCATCATTCATAGTTCCTGATATTTCACATCTTATGTCCAGAAACACTTCTAATAAAATTTCTCATGCTCCAGCAGCAGAATTCAGAGGACTTAGGGTGGTTGGTGCTGCGATTATATGCTATCTCTCATCTTTTTATCTGCGGCTAAACCTATTTTAAATAGTATGGACGGCAAGATATGTGTCCAAGGCCAGGCTGATGAAATTTCCTGTGATTTAAAAGCAGTGCATAGTTTTAAACAATGGAGACTCCATTGTGCTACTGTTATTTATGTCCATCCCTTAGTCCCTACTACAATGCTTCCATCTGGAAGGCAAGGCTTGGGGCCTATTTAGCCTTGAAACTATTAGACTGTCCATTGCAATGTCCCAAACAGAGGATGACCTCCATAAATGTGTATTGAATTGAGTTGAGGGTGCCAAGTAGAAAGGAGCTTCTTTGAGACACCAATTTGTTTGTGATAGTCATGAAAAAATATGTAGCAACCATTTCTTTCTCTTTACAGTGAACCTGCTTGTCAAATGCCTCTTTAAAAAGCGAGGGAAGATAATTGCAAGTGAGCTGGAAGTGCTGCCAAGATATGACCTCCAGGAAGGCCCAGAAGACAAGTAATATTGTGTGGACTGCTACAGTACAATGTCTAACTGATGCAGAATGAAGAATCAATTTGAAATTAAGATGAGTAAAGGCATCCAGCACTTATAGTTATAGCAAAAAACATTGTCACCAGGCCCTGGGAGAGATGAGGACACCTCTCTTCCCTTCTCAGGCTCCCTACCCCTGTCAAACTCTAGCTCTTAAAGGCTGTCATCCTCCAAGGGTATTCCCTATGTACAGCATAGCATCTCTGTTACCCTTTGAATTCAACAATACTAATCTCCTCCAACATTCATTCATTCCTTTAGTCAAAAGTCAGCTGTCAAATGCAAGGCACAAGTACAAATTTAAGGAATTTATGGTCAGTATTTGGCATGTCATTTTATGGATTGTCTACAGGCACATAAAACATACATTGAGGATACTGATCTAAGATGCATGACACACAAGTAAATTGGGAAAAACATGACTCTGAGTTCAAAAGTTCTTATTTTTTCACAGTCCTCAGAGTATCCTATAGGACCCTTGAAAAAATAAATTTGCAGAGTGTGAATGTTCATTTACTCTCACCTTCAGAAAAGGGATTTTCCACATTTATAAAAGAAAACTTGTGACTATTTTAGATAATAGAGCACAGTAAGAATTCTCAAACTAGTATAACCCTATTTCTGTATACCACAAAGATATCTCATAGGCATGTTCCTCTGGAGGACTTGCGAATTATGCTTTTCTTCCTCCTTGTCTCAGTAATCTTGCTGTAGTATAATCAAAACAGAGCCTGATGTGAAACCAGAGCCTTGAGTTTTCATCCTTTGTTACTTAAAAGCTGATATAAGAAAAATTACTTAACTTGTCTTAACCTCAGTTTTTTTTCTATAAAATGTATCTCACAAGGTAGTTATGAGGATTGAAGGAAATGAAAAAATGCTTATTTGGTTTTGAATCCTGGTTTGGTCTAGTTATCAATAAGACTCATTAAAATGAAATGTTCAGGTATCCTCAGCATTTCGTTGTTGTTGCCAATTACTGATGATTAAACTAAAACGTGAAGTAAAATATATGTGGCATTTCTGCAAAACTGTGAGCCCATCATAAATCATCGAAAGCTCTGCTTTCACACAGGTGAATCAGTGTGCTTCTCAGACCAAAAAGTAGCAGCAGCAGCAGCACCTAACACCTAGAAAGCAGACACTCTGTGCCAGGTGCCAAGCCGTGCATCTTATATTCATCCTCTCCTGTCCTCCTCAGCACAACCTCAAGAAGCTTGAACTCCTCCACACAGAACCATGGCCTCCAGTGGAGGCTGCACATATGGCCCAGGCAGACCACAGGTAGCCTGCTCTCAAGAAGAAGGCTTGTTATTCTAAGGCTGAACCCTGAAGGATGCTAATTAATGAGCAATCAGTGTCCCTAGCCACTTTGCTTCCTTTTTATTTTATACTCTCTTGATCTATTGTAATTTCAAAATAGGCCTCTCAAACATCCACTTTTCTCCTATGTTGCTTCTTCCACAATTGCCAGGGTGATCTTCTGAACCCAGGCCACCCATGGTGCCGGGAAGATCTCTGGAACCCTAGGCCGTTGGTCTCTCCATCTTCTGGGCGCCTGTGGCACTTGGCAAACAGCACTGTTGTTATCATTCTTTTTCAGGAGAATGAGAGATTCTAGAAGGTAGGAGCTACCCCTCGTTGATCACTATATCTAATGGAATGCATGGGATGATGGCAGGGGCACCATCCACCTATGATCTATCAGGACAATGATTCTTAATCCTGGATGCATATCTACAATTACCTAGGAAGTTTTTAAAAATACCTAGTCAAGCCCATGCCCTATTGTAGTTAATGGAATCAGTCTCTCTAGGCACCGAGGATGGGGTTCCAGGTAACCCTAACATATAAACAGGCCTGAGATCCACAATATTTGTGGGTATGTCTGGCTCCTCTCCCTTTTGCTCCTCTGACCCATTTAGAAATAAGACTGGCCTGCAGCCAGCCCCTTCCCCTCCTCTTCCTCATTGGGGCCTTGCTGGCCTGCAGCAAGCCTGCCTGCTCTTCTTCTAGCCAGGCCTCCAGATAAGTGGTCTGTGCTCTGCCCTCATGAGTCAGGCCTGCAATCCTCTGTCTCTGTGTAATGGCGGGTGGGCCTGTTTGATTCCAGAGTTCACTCTTAGGAAACCCATTATTATTGTAGCCTAAGCCTCATTCACCAGTATTTGTTTTCAGTAATAAATTTGACATCGACATTTATATCTCCATTTGCTTAATGTCCCCTACCTCATCAATTGATTTAGAGTTTAGGAAGGGGAGACATTTATTATCAACCTCAAACTGAACAGCATCCTCTTTTTTTTTTTTTTTTTTTTTGGCTTGGCATACCTAGGCTATAATAGGTGCTCAATAAATATTTGTTGACTAAATCAATTCCCTGTGTACTTCTAGTAATACCCATTCTCTAAATTTCAGTCTCACTTTTTCTCTGTCTCTTTCTTCTTACACAAGCTACAGATGGTATAAATGCTGCAGTCCTTGGGAAGACTGAAAAAGCAGTCAGACAGATGTGTTGTTCATAGCTCCCTAGTCAGGCATAACTAAACATTTACATTTATTACCAATTAGAGGGGAAACAGACTGTAGTTTTATGCACTGTATGTGGCTGGATATATTTCTTTTTGGGATCTCACTACAAATTTCAAAATGTACCATTGGATCTCACTCTTTTACCAGCTCAAACCTCATTGAAAACACCATTTAAATAGAGGTCTACCAATGACAGCACAAATCTGTTGTCATTCTCCTACCCAAACACAAAATACTATGGAGGTGGAAAGGCAATGCTGCAGAGAGGCAACCGACCCAGTGCAATTGAGCTGAACTTACTTCACTAAGACTTCGCGGCCACGCAGACTGATGGAGGTGTGGTGGACTGTGTTGAGACCATGCCTGTAAAGTTGTTGATGACACACAGTGTGCAACAATACTTGTGAACACACAGAGCTTTGCTGTGTCTGCAGCCCTTTTCCATTTAGGACAAAATAGAGTGAGTGGACTTAGTACTAGACATCGCTGTGGAACCATTGGTTCCACAGGGCATCAGAACCAAAGCTAAAGAATTCACTGTTTTTAGCAGAGTTCCATCTAACCTGGTGTCCATCTTACATCTAAAACATTGACCCAACCCCATCACAAATATCAAAGGAAAACTCTTACTAAGGTATAGGTAACCTGAGCTTTTGTTTCAGCTCTTGTTAACACAGCTTCCTCACCTGCAAAACCAGATGACTGCTTTCAGGAACTTTGCTAAGGAAATCATGAGATTTAATTACAGATTTATATACCGTATAAAAATTTCATCGTATGTTTAGTAACAATAGGAGCAATGTCAGAACAACCTAAATGTCAACAATGGGGTAGAGACTGGTAGATATATTACAGAGAAACCAGATGAATCACAGAACCAGTAAAAACCACTTCACACCCACTGTAATGGATATAACGAATGCCTATGATGAAAACGCAAGCAAACAAATGGAAATTAACAAGTTCTGGTGAGGATGCGGAGAATGGGAACCCTCCTGCATTGCTGGTAGGGAAGTAGAAAGTGAGAGTAGCTGTGGGAACACTTTGGTGTTTCCTCAGAAAGTTACAAATAGAATTACCATATGATCCTACATATTCCGCTCTAGGTGTATACCCAAACAAACTGAAAACAGACACTCAAACAAGAACACGTATATGTATGTTCAACACTATATGTTGAACACATGTATACATATTTTCACAGCAGTCAGAAGGAACAGCCCAAATGTCCACTGACGGATGAATGAATAAATAGGGGTATACACATACAATGGAATAGTTTCCCACCCTAAAAAAGAAGGAGGTACTGATACATGCTACAAAGTGGATGAACTCAAAAACATTATTCCAAGTGAAAGAAGCCAGACACAAAAGGTTCACATATTGTATGGTTTCATGTATATAAAATATCTAGAATAGGTAAATCCAAAGACCAGATGCAAATTGGTGGTTTTCAAGTGCTACAAGAAAGAAGAATGAGGAAAAACTGCCTAATGGGTATAGGATTTTACCTTGGAGTGATAGGAATGTTTTGACACCAGACAGAGATGGTTGCACAACATTGTGAGTGTACTAAATGCCAGTAAACTGTCCACTTTCAAATAGTTAATTTTTGTTATATGAATTTCACCTCACATTATTTTTAAAAATCATGGCTTTCAAAGAATATTTACTGACATGGGAAAATTCACACCACATGCCTATTATAAAAAACTGGACTCACAGCCGGGTGCGGTGGCTCACACCTATAATCCCAGCATTTTGGGAGGCCGAGGCGGGTGGATCACGAGGTCAAGAGATCGAGACCATCCTGGTCAACATGGTGAAACCCCATCTCTACTAAAAATACAAAAAATTAGCTGGGCATGGTGGCACGTGCCTGTAATCCCAGCTACTCAGGAGGCTGAGGCAGGAGAATTGCCTGAACCCAGGAGGCGGAGGTTGCGGTGAGCCGAGATCACACCATTGCACTCCAGCCTGGGTAACAAGAGCGAAACTCCGTCTCAAAAAAAAAAACCAAAAAACTGGACTTAAAATATCTCAATTTTGAAAGATTAAAAATGTACATGTGAATTTGTGCATCTATGTATACACACACACACACACACACACACACACACACACACACATATATATATATACTCATCATCCTCCCCTCAAAAAATACTGAAAAGAAATTCAAAACTCTGACATTTGAATGATAGGTTGTTTCATTTTCTTATTCCTTAAAATGAACATATGTTAATTTTATAATTTGAGGAGAAAAGCAATGTTATCGAATAAGAATTGTGTTGTAAGAACATCACTAAAGTTTCCCTCCAGCTCTACAATTCTAGTAGTCTCAACGTGTTGCATTTTCCAGAATACCTATTAGATGTTGGGCAAGAGAGATAAGCCTTTAGGGTGGACACCTAGGAAATGCTGATTTAAGACAGGCAGGCAATATTGGAGCACAGAGACATTTAGAATACAAACATTTGTATAGGCAATCTGTATTCATAATTCTCACCCTCGTCACATTGGCCATAACTGGTGCCATTAGAAGAACATACATATCCATTATTCAGCTCCATGGCTCATTCCCTAATGGCTCCTTTAAGAATTATGTGTTCAGGGTAATGGTCATGGCTTTCATATGCAATCTTTTCATAATGCATGCATTGCAAAATAAAATAAATTCCCCTGTCCTGCAGCTACCCAAGCTGAATTCTTGCTAGATAAATTGCTTGGTTTATTTGCTTTCTTTTTCTTAAAAATAACATTCTCCAGCTGATGTATTCCAATGGGTGGCTTTCTAAAATGATCAACTCTTCTCTGGCTTGTGGGCAACTGAAAATTTCACTATCTTTGATTCTACCTACCTCATCCTCTATTTCTCCATATCAGCATGACATTGAGGCTGGATGACGAGGCTTATGCCTGTAATCCTAGCACTTTGGAAGGCTGAGGTGGGTGGATTGCTTGAGGTCAGGAGATCAAGACCAGGCTGGCCAACATGCTGAAACCCTGTCACTACTAAAAATACAAAAATTGGCCAGGTGTGGTGGTGGGCACCTGTAATCCCAGCTACTTGGGCAGCTGAGGGAGAAACACTTGAACCCGGAGGTGGAAGTTGTAGTGAGATGAGATCATACCACCACTGCACTCGAGCCTGGGTGTCAAGAGTGAAACTCCATCTCAAAAAAAAGGGTGGCATTGAAAATATGGAGAATTAAAAAGTAGAGTTTGAGTTAGAGATTACAAAGTCTGTGTAGTTTATTCCATATTTAGTTTTTAATTTTTATGGATGCATAATAGTTATTATGGTATATATGTGATATTTCGACATGTGCATACAATGAATGGATGAGTGGAAAAGTATATAAATACACACACACACACACACACACACACACACACACACA